TGGACCTCGGGTGAAGGGACGATACTTGACCCCAAAGACAATCATTTTGGTCTGTGCATCTATTCTACTCCCAGGGGTACGGGCCAATAATCCACACGAGCCCATGATATTGGGATTATTCAACATACAACAACCTGACCAACCCTTGAAAAGCTGTAAAAATCAAACCCACGTAAATTTTACCGTTTCTTTGAGAAATTTAATTATGGGACACCGAAGAGATAGGACAGATAACTGTATGGGATTTTATGTTTGCCCTGCTTCAAATAGAGGGAGAAATTATTGTAATTTGCCAAATCATTACTACTGTGGTTATTGGGGATGTGAGACATGGGCATCTGAATGGTCCACAGATATTAAAGACCCAGACATACAGGTGGAATGGTTCCCTCCTGGTTGCAAACGACCCACAATAGGAGGAGATGGGCATGTTTACGGACATTGTGAGGCCAGTGGATACTGTAAGGAAATTAATATAAAGGTTCAGAAGCCTACAAACAATGGCTGGTTGGTTGGAAGAATGTGGGGAATTAGATTTTGGGAACCAGGTCCAGACAGGGGTGGTATATTCAGAATAGCAAAGAGAAGTATGCCACATGATTCCCCATTGTCTATAGGCCCAAATACAGTTTTGGCACCGCCCCCTTCTACCGAAAGGACCCCGCCACCTGTTGCTGCTACACCAAAAAATACCACTAACAGTACAGGTCGAAGGTATAAGACACCACTGCTTACACTCAGTGATCCATTGTGGGGCATTATGCAAGCCGCATATGCCGCCCTGAATAAAACGCAACCAAACTTAACTAACGAGTGTTGGTTGTGCTATAGCGTTAGACCACCTTATTATGAGGCAGTAGGAGAGCCAGGCAAGGTCACATGGAATAGTGGAACAAATCCTGCTGAATGCCCATTGGATAGTAATCACACCCAGGGGTTAACTGTACAACATGTCACAGGGGAAGGAAAATGTGTTGGAACTATACCGAAACAATATAAAAGTCTTTGTAACAACACAATATCTAAAAGTAAAGTAATAAACAAGATAAACGAAAATTTTAAATGGCTAATCCCCACAGCAGGTGCAAAGTGGGTATGTTCAGATATCGAAATGACGCCATGTATATCATTAGAGGTATTTAATAGATCTGAATTTTGTATACAAGTAGTAGTTATTCCGCGATTAATGTATCACTCTGATGAAGAGGTTATGTATCAACTTGAAGGGAGCCTCATCAGACAGAAAAAAGAGCCTATAACAGCAATTACTTTAGCAACCCTCTTGATTGCCGGAGGTGTGGGTGCCGGAACCGGCATAGCCTCACTCGTCAAAAGTAATGAGATAAAGAATTTACAGCAAGCTGTAGATGAAGATCTAGACAGAATAGAGCAATCAATTGATAAATTGGCAATTTCGGTCAAATCGTTATCAGAGATGGTACTACAAAATCGAAGAGGATTAGACCTCCTATTCCTAAAGGAAGGGGGACTATGCGTAGCACTACAAGAAGAATGTTGCTCAGTTGTAGATCACACCGGAATAGTTAGGGATTCCATGGCTGAACTTCGTAAGAGATTGGAACAACGAAAAAGGGATAGGGAAATAGGAAGATCCTGGTATGAGAGTTGGTTTAACGTATCACCATGGCTCACTACTTTGCTGTCTGCTCTGGCTGGACCCTTGATCACGATTATTCTGGGGCTAATATTTGGACCATGTATAATTAAATATCTATCACAACTGGTAAAGAAGCGATTTGATACCACGAAATTGCTAATCTTAACGCAAATGACTCTGCAGAGGGAAATAGAGAAATTGTAAATAGAGAAAGTGTGATATTCCATCCCATGATCACAATTAGGAAAGGAGAATTGTAACTATGAAAGTTGAAGGACAAACATTCAATGATAAAAGAAAAGGGGGGGAAATTGTCAAAAAGATAGGAATGTTTGCCCAGAGTTAATAAGCTTAGCTTGCGAAAACACAAACCTGAGCGATTGTGTAATCAACCAATAAGATTCGCTCATACGAGCAACTTATCATAAATGGGAACCACCAGAAGGGGTCAAGAAAAGGATACGGAGGAAGACTACTTACTTCAACCCATACGACCACCGGGAGGCAGGAGAAGATCCCCTAGCAACAGCCAGATCATGCACAGACGAACGGTATAAAAGAGCAGGTATTGGCTCAAACCTTGTGACAGTTGATGGAACACAGAATTCCCTTGTGATAAATGTGTCTGCTCATTAACCAGGAGGTAGTAAAGATTTCGAGACAAGAATAATCGGGATGTAGTGAATCTTTCATTAAATGTTGATACAACTGCCTAGGTAGTATTTTTTCTTTTTTGAAACTAGAAGCAAGGGGGTGTTACAGCATCAACAAAAGAATAGCTGAAGACCCCAGTAACAACAAATGAGACATGCGCAGAGTACCCTGGAAATACCACGGCAGTCATTTGGAACTACATAAAAGAACGGCCCCAATCTTCTGGTGGCGCGGCAGTTGGCAGGACAGAGATCCCCCTGTCGCCCAGCGCTGCATTGCCTCTTTCTTCTTTGTTCATTATAATTAATAAATTCAACAATTGACTCCTTAAATTTCTGGTCTATCATTTTATTATTTATAACAAGGACCGTATGAAAAGACAGCTACATCAGTGAACTGGACTGCCTGCATGAGTATACTCCCTGGGATTCAACAAAATCTAAATTTTCACTTTATTTCTTTGATTACCATTCACTCACTACTTCAAAATCTCCATTTTATTTCTATACAAATTTTCATGTTTCTGCTCTATGTGCAGATTTCCAGAAGAGTGCAATGGAACCAGCAACAGGTTTTGCAAGAATGGGATTTATTGATTTCTTTGATCCATATTCCAACAATAATTTTTGTTTTGTCACAGCCAATTTTGCTTTCTCTTTCTCACCTGCTCACCCTGCCACATCAACTGCCTCCTGGAGCAGCCCAGCCTGGCCAAGGGGGGATGGGGCCAGGCTGAATGAATGAATGAATGGGGCCTTATAAATATTTCTATAATTAGTCAAAGCACAGTAATTTTTTTTCCCTACAGGTTAAATACTGCTTACTTTTTATAAAGTTCTCTGTCCTTAGTATTTACACGAGTCTTTTTCTGACCTGCTGTAAGCCCGTTAGTCCAAACCAGATAAGGAGTCTAATTTTAGAACTGGAGATAGTGTAACACTGTTACTAGTTGATACTTGCTATGTCATTGCATTCTAGGATTATGTAATAAACAAAAGAACTGCCTCATAGAAGAGAATGACTTATTAATTACAATACAGTAGTGATCTTGTTTTTGGTGTTATTATTGCATATGTATATCTGCCTTTGCATTGTTAGTTCTAGAAGATACTGTCTACAGGTATTGCTGACAATTAAAAAAAAAAAAATTACAATTCTTATTTATTCTTGGAAATATGTTTCTTTGCTTGCTATGAATCAGTTAATACTGAGCCATGATATTTTGCTGTGCTAGTGCACTTTATTGAATGTATCAAAGTACATAAGACATATTGATATTGTAACAATTAAACACAGAAACAAAGACTGTGTCTAAAAAACAATTCCAAAGTTTTAGGAAGGAAGGATTATTATAGAATTCTGAGACTGCCTGATACAAGAAGAAAGTGGTTTAGGCAGATTCACATAATTTGACCTTACACACTCATTCTATAGAAAAGAATTTAATCTCAAAGACTGGCAAGCAGAATTTTTAACAGGAACACTACTATGCAAATCAAAGAGCAATTCTGTTGTCATGCGATGTACTAACTGCCAGACACTTGTTTGCTTTACAAAATATGCATTAATTTATCAAATAACCCCACAAAATAAACAAAACTGAAGAAAACCTATGCATTTACTTACAACTATGTGCTCAATCACTGTTTCAAGCCCTGACTTAGCATTTCCAAACCACAGTGTTCACTCCTGTTCATGTGGCCAAAATCTCTAATCTGAACATTATTTGAAAGGCAGAAAAATTATCCCAGTCTTTCATCACTAAAAACTTCTGCCAAAGCCTTGGTGGGATCTGCACTGTATGCCATTGTAGAAGTTAAGTTCTGCAACAAACTGAGAGCAACAGACTAATGTTAATCAAATCCGGACTACATGGTGTCTTTTTTCTGTCTGCCTTCCTTTTCCAAGACTCACAAACTGCATTTCAGGTATTGCTGTCAAGAGCGTCAAAAGTTATGCTTTGAAGAAAAGAGTTATCTGCTCATGGCTAAGGTATTCTGCCATGTATTCATTATGAAAAGAAGTTAAAAAAAAAAAAAAAAAAAAAAAAAAGGATGTTGCAGATAAGAAGCATGAAGAATGACTTTACAACGTAATTGCAGCTTCTCTAGTCTAACGTTTCTTCAAAAAGGCTGGAGAAATCAGTATTTCTCAAAACAAGAGAAATTTCTTTACTCCTTTTTATTACTTTCTCAGAAAACTGCAACATTCTAACTACTATGGTAATATTGCAGGCTACGGGCTTCTACAATCAATAGATGCACAAAGGTTAGGCTTCATAAGATTACCATGATGAAAAGATATGTACATTTAAAAAGAAAAAAATTAAAAAAAAAAATAAAAAGAAAGGAAATGCTAACTGGACTCATAGGCTGGCAGTAAACACCCCAGAGAGCAACCTCCAGAAAGAGATCCCTCCTCAGTGGTAGTCAGCCCTTAAATGGGATCTCCACCCCTTCCTGGTAGCACTGGCAAATTGCTTTCACCTGTGCTCCCATGGCTGACTTCTTGCTTGCCTCAGGTGCTCAATAAGAGGTCCAGGCTGTGATCAACAGTTCCCATCCAACGATAACATTACTTGAGAGAGAAAACTCTCAGCTTCAAAATACTATGTTATTAACATAGTCACCACCACTATATATTTCATATTTTTTTTTTCTCAAATCCTAACCATTTTAAATGCATAGGTTTTCTTCCGTTTTGTTTATTTTGCTTGCTAAGTCAGGGCTTGAAACAGTGATTGAGCACCTAGTAGTAAGGCAGGGCCAAGCCAGGGGAGCTCAAGTGTATGCAGTGCACATGAATGACCAGTATGGGTATTGACAGGATCTTCCTCTTCGCAGACCTCATTTAAGTGTTGGCAGTGGAGCTGAGGGTATCTCATCTGGAGATCCCTGCATAGCTGAGGCCTTCCAAGGATAAGCAGGTTTTTTTTTCCTTATTTCTGTCTCCATGACTGCTCTGTTTAGCAAGTTTTCACTCACTGCAGCCTGGGGTCTTGCTACTCTGCTATCACTGTCGTGCTTTTCATTGTGTTACAACCACAAATTTCAGTGACTTGCTAAAACTTACAGGGCAAGGACAGTATTTAAGTGAGCCAGGAGATATTTTGCCTTGTATTTAATCTTTTTCTTCTTACAAAGTACCCTTGTGTGAGGAACATTTGTTTTGTGGGAGCTGATTCAGGAGAACTCAATTTTTAACATTCCAAAGGGAAATCTCTCTGGAGTTATGACTGCAAGCAGGCAAGCAAGAACTGAATCTAATGTAGAAGTTTAGGACCATATGAAAAGACAGCTACATTAGTGAACTGGACTGCCTGCATGAGTATACTCCCTGGGATTCAACAAAATCTAAATTTTCACTTTATTTCTTTGATTACCATTCACTCACTACTTCAAAATCTCCATTTTAATTCTATACAAATTTTCATGTTTCTGCTCTATGTGCAGATTTCCAGAAGAGTGCAATGGAACCAGCAACAGGTTTTGCAAGAATGGGATTTATTGATTTCTTTGATCCATATTCCAACAATAATTTTTGTTTTGTCACAGCCAATTTTCCTTTCTCTTCATAATCTACTTGCACCTTGGAGGAATTTGGTAGAGGTAAAGCCTATGGTTATCACTACACAGCCAGTAAACATAGTAGCTGGCACTCCAATTTTCATCACAAAGAGAACATTAAACGTGTCCACATGGCAAATTAGTACCCCCACCCCCCTGTAGTACCTGATATAGTGATCCTGCCCCAGATATCAGGACAAAGGATGTTGTACCAAAGGCCAGGACATGCCCCAGCACAAGTGGAGGTGTTTGACTCAAGACAAAACACAGCCTGTATCCTACCACTGAAGGCAGACCCACCACTCCTCATACCTTTTAAACATCTGTACTACTCCCCTTGAGGCTGTGAAGTCCACAGGACCACTGGTAGGAGCATCAACACTTCAGCGTGCTTCAGTGTCTGTGAGGGTATGTCATGACACCAGGTGGTGGAGTGCGGAAGTTCTGGGAACCAGTGAACCCAAACCTGAACTGAAGAAGATAAGCCTCCAGAAGCAACATCAAGTACTGTTCCAACACAACCATAAGAAGACTGTCAACAATCACCTTGCAACAATCACCTATCAATCACATCATTGATAGGTACTGTACCTGCATCACGATACACGTTGTACTTCATGTTTCCAAAACAGCAGGAGTTTACCCCTGACCTACTCAATCTTTGGTTCAGGCTGTGACCTAGCAACTCTGCTGCACTCCATCCCTTCACAGCCTGAACCAATGATTGAACATTAGCTGAGAGGTCAAGGCTATCCCAGGGAGCTGAGGTGTAAGCAATGATTGGAAAAGGTGCTTTTATTTAAGTGTTAGCAGCAGAGGGAGCAGTATCTCTCTGAGTTTGCTCTTCTTTTGAGTTGTTACTAGTTTCTGGAAGGGGTGAGCTAATTTTTCTTCATTACCTGCTGCTATGGTTCTTGTAGGTTATGTATGGTTACCTGTTAGGTATGGTCATATAGTCTTGTATGGTTACCTGCTATGACGCTTATATCCCATTAGAAAGCACTGTCATTACATTCTTTTGCCATGTGACTTAGTTTAAAATATTTTCTTAAGTTTTCTCAGTTCTGTTGCTTTATTTTTCAATGCTGCTCTGCAAACCTTGCTGTGACTCCGGGCTAGGCCTGGCCACTCATCAGGGTAGAGCTGCTGCCATGATAGATACAGCTGTAGGGGGTGCAAGCTGAGTTGGGATACACGTAGCATGTGGGTTACAGGTTGTGTATGCCTGAGTATCTAACTCACACTAAAATGTCTTGCCTGTATGCATGTGGTGGCTGGAATCCCTTTGCATTGTAGAAGCAAAGTTCAGAGCCAGAAAGTAAGGGAACGCAAAATTATGAAAAGAAGAAATGATCTATGGAAAACTAATTGTTATAGATGTTATTTGATCCTTGAAAATCATAAAAATAGTCTTGGGGAAAAAAGAAAAAAAGAAAAAAGCTGGTTTGGACTAACGGGCTTACAGCAGGTCAGAAAAAGACTCGTGTAAATACTAAGGACAGAGAACTTTCTAAAAAGTAAGCAGCTAATCAGCAGTATTTAACCTGTAGGGAAAAATTTACTGTGCTTTGACTAATTATAGAAATATTTATAAGGCCCCATTCATTCATTCATTCATTCATTCATTCATTCATTCATTCATTCAGCCTGGCTCCATCCACCCCTTGGCCAGGCTGGGCTGCTCCAGGAGGCAGATGATGTGGCAGGGTGAGCAGGTGGAAGTGTGAGCAAAATTGTTTTAGAGGCAGAATGTTCTTGTTTCACAGTATTGCATATATGCAATCCTGCATTCAAGATGGAAGAAAGGGGCCTAAAATTTCAAAGAGATATGACGCTAAGTGGACAACGAGGGTCATTGCAAAAATTGTCCTTCTTTAGGGAACAAAACTTGCCTCCTTTTGAGTTTAATGACAGTCCTGCCATTGATTTGTGCGTGCCCTATCTATTCATTTTTCTGCTCCCCTGATTTTTTTTTTTTTTTTTTCCACTTTTGCTCAGCTTAATGACTTGCTTCATTCCTTAACTTTATCCTCTCTTCCCGAAAAGTGTTGTCACTTAAACTGGCTTAGCATATCTACTCTATTTATTCTATAACACCCCCGACTTTTACATTTCAGTTGAAAAATTCACTATCACTATAATCACCAGGAAGAAGAAATAGTTGCTTTAAACTTCTAAAGAAGTAAGATCACTTCTGAAGAAGTAAGATCTCAATCCTGTCAGTCCTCCAACTGAGAGTGTGACGAATGGATGTCACAAAAGGAGAAAAAACACAATCATCTAGGAAATGTAAGGGTTAATGAAAAGTAATATGTCACTTCATGGCAACAGTAACACTTTTCTGATCATACAAAACAGGGACAGTCAGCAGTATGCTAGGGTTGCATTCAGAATGGAGTACTCCAGATGTGGTCTCACCAATGCAGAGCAGAGGGGCAGGATCATCTACCTTGACCTGCTGACCACGATTCTTTTGGTGCAGTCCAGGACAGGAGTGGCTTTCTGGGCTGTGAGGGTACACACTGCTAGTTCATGTCCACTTGCTATTTACTAGTATCCCTATGCCCATTGTGGCAGGGCTGTTCTCTGTCCTTACATCCTTCAACTTGTACTGATACAAGGGGTTGGTTGCCATTACCCATGTGCAGTACCTTGCACTTGGATTTTTTGAACCCCACGAGCTTCTCCTTGTCCCACTGACAAAGGCTGTCTAAGTCTCTCTGAGTGGCATCCCATCCCTCAGTCATCTTGACCTTATCACATAGCTTGTTGCCATCCACAAACTTGATGAGAATGTACTTGATCCCACTGTCAATGTCACTGCTGAAGATATTAAAGAGCATTGGTCCCACTACTGACCCCTGAGGAGCACCACTTGTTACTTTCTCTAGCCAGACATTGAGCCAGTGACCACCACTCTCAAGGTATGACTACACTAAACTTTCTTCATCAGTCCACCTTTCAAATCCACACATTTTGAATTTGAAAAGACGGATATGATGGGGACCATGTCCAAGTCTCTACTGACATTAAGATAGATGACATCAAGCATTTTCCTCATCCGCTCATGTAGTTATGCCATCATGAAATCCACTAGTTATCTTTTCAAAATTAGTTCTTGTTTGTAACACTGAACATTATAAATTGTATTTTCTTTACATAGCAGTAGCTAATAGCTTTTACCTGAAATGAGCTTGTTTCTGAAGAAACAAAAATTGGATTTGCTACTTTTGAACATTTTATATTTTTTCTTTGTCAAATCCTAACCATTTTAAATGCATAGGTTTTCTTCAGTTTTGTTTATTTTGTGGGGTTATTTGATAAATTAATGCATATTTTGTAAAGCAAACAAGTGTCTGGCAGTTAGTACATCGCATGACAACAGAATTGCTCTTTGATTTGCATAGTAGTGTTCCTGTTAAAAATTCTGCTTGCCAGTCTTTGAGATTAAATTCTTTTCTATAGAATGAGTGTGTAAGGTCAAATTATGTGAATCTGCCTAAACCACTTTCTTCTTGTATCAGGCAGTCTCAGAATTCTATAATAATCCTTCCTTCCTAAAACTTTGGAATTGTTTTTTAGACACAGTCTTTGTTTCTGTGTTTAATTGTTACAATATCAATATGTCTTATGTACTTTGATACATTCAATAAAGTGCACTAGCACAGCAAAATATCATGGCTCAGTATTAACTGATTCATAGCAAGCAAAGAAACATATTTCCAAGAATAAATAAGAATTGTAATTTTTTTTTTTTTAATTGTCAGCAATACCTGTAGACAGTATCTTCTAGAACTAACAATGCAAAGGCAGATATACATATGCAATAATAGCACCAAAAACAAGATCACTACTGTATTGTAATTAATAAGTCATTCTCTTCTATGAGGCAGTTCTTTTGTTTATTACATAATCCTAGAATGCAATGACATAGCAAGTATCAACTAGTAACAGTGTTACACTATCTCCAGTTCTAAAATTAGACTCCTTATCTGGTTTGGACTAACGGGCTTACAGCAGGTCAGAAAAAGACTCGTGTAAATACTAAGGACAGAGAACTTTATAAAAAGTAAGCAGCTAATCAGCAGTATTTAACCTGTAGGGAAAAAAATTACTGTGCTTTGACTAATTATAGAAATATTTATAAGGCCCCATTCATTCATTCATTCATTCATTCATTCATTCATTCATTCATTCATTCAGCCTGGCTCCATCCACCCCTTGGCCAGGCTGGGCTGCTCCAGGAGGCAGATGATGTGGCAGGGTGAGCAGGTGGAAGTGTGAGCAAAATTGTTTTAGAGGCAGAATGTTCTTGTTTCCCAGTATTGCATATATGCAATCCTGCATTCAAGATGGAAGAAAGGGGCCTAAAATTTCAAAGAGATATGATGCAAAGTGGACAACGAGGGTCATTGCAAAAATTGTCCTTCTTTAGGGAACAAAACTTGCCTCCTTTTGAGTTTAATGACAGTCCTGCCATTGATTTGTGCGTGCCCTATCTATTCATTTTTCTGCTCCCCTGATTTTTTTTTTTTTTTTTTTCCACTTTTGCTCAGCTTAATGACTTGCTTCATTCCTTAACTTTATCCTCTCTTCCCGAAAAGTGTTGTCACTTAAACTGGCTTAGCATATCTACTCTATTTATTCTATAACACCCCCGACTTTTACATTTCAGTTGAAAAATTCACTATCACTATAATCACCAGGAAGAAGAAATAGTTGCTTTAAACTTCTAAAGAAGTAAGATCACTTCTGAAGAAGTAAGATCTCAATCCTGTCAGTCCTCCAACTGAGAGTGTGACGAATGGATGTCACAAAAGGAGAAAAAACACAATCATCTAGGAAATGTAAGGGTTAATGAAAGGTAATATGTCACTTCATGGCAATAGTAGCACTTTTCTGATCATACAAAACAGGGACAGTCAGCAGTATGCTAGGGTTGCATTCAGGATGGAGTACTCCAGATGTGGTCTCACTTCTGAGTGCCCATATCTATGGGAGTGCAGACAGGGCTAGGCTCTGGGAGTTATATTCTCTTATTCTGAATCCAACAGGCCTACCGTCTCTTGGTTACCGTCTCAATGGTTATAACATATGTTATATGTTACGACATTATGTTCATGCCAAAGGAGTTTTGAAGGGGACAGAAACTCGACTAACTCTCTTCTGGTGCTTGGTAGGTTACATTTGCCTAGTGTTTTGCAACATACATCACTCAATTAAGATTACAATTAGCTCAGCAGTGCAGGAGAGAAGAGAAGGTGAGTTCTGGCTCATCATAAATATGCATGATGAGTGCCCATATCTATGGGAGTGCAGACAGGGCTAGGCTCTGGGAGTTATATTCTCTTATTCTGAATCCAACAGGCCTACCGTCTCTTTCAGTAGTTCTCTAAAAGTATCGGCTTACCGTGCAAATGAAATGCCGTTTCTGCAGTGAGAAGCAGCAAGGTGAGTATTTCATGGTCTCTGCTGCCATCTATTGTCATTTATTGGTACTAACAATTCTTGTTGGGATTCTCTTCATAACGGGAAACAGCACTTATGTACTATACTGTTGCAGGGACTTGAGAAGCTTGCTTCCTGTGACAAACCTAACAGCAGCTTTTCCACCTTTGAGTATGTACTGGGGATTATTGCCAAGCCTTGTAGGGGTATCACAGAATCACAGAATCACCCGGGTTGGAAGGGACCTCAAGGATCATGTAGTTCCAACCCCCCTGCCTAGCAGGGCCACCAAACGTACACATTCAGATCAGGTTGCCCAGGACCCCATCCAACCTGGCCTTGAACACGTCCAAGGACGGGGCCTCCACAACCTCCCTGGGCAGCCCGTTCCAGGGCCTAACTACTCTCCTTGTGAAGAACATCCCCCTAACATCCAACCTAAATCTTCCCTCCTTCAACTTGGATCCATTTCCCCTAGTCCTGCTGTTGTCAGCCCTTTTGAAGAGTTTACTCCCCTCCTGGGTGTAGGTTCCCTTCAGGTGTTGATAGGCTGCAATGAGGTCACCCCGCAGCCTTCTCTTCTCCAGGCTGAACAAGCCCAACTCCCTCAGCCTGTCCTCATAGGGGAGGTGCTCCAGCCCCCTGATCATCTTAGTCGCCCTCCTCTGGACCCTTTCCAAGATCTCTATGTCTTTCTTGTACTGAGGGCTCCACACCTGGACACAGTACTCCAGATGGGGCCTCACAAGAGCCGAGTAGAGAGGGACAATCACCTCCCTCTCCCTGCTGACCACCCCTCTCCTGATGGAGCCCAGGATCCCATTTGCCTTTTGAGCTGCCAGAGCGCACTGCTGGCTCATGTTAAGTCTCTCGTCAATCAGGACCCCGAGGTCCTTCTCTGCCAAGCTGCTCTCAAGGACCACTCCTCCCAGCCTGTACGGGTGCCTGGAGTTCTTCCGGCCCAAATGCAAAACCTTGCACTTTGCTGTGTTGAACCTCATTAGGTTCACCCGAGCCCAGCCCTCCAGCCTGTCGAGGTCCCTCTGAATGGCATCCCTTCCTTCCACCGTATCAACCGCACCACTCAGCTTGGTGTCGTCAGCAAACTTGCTGAGGGTGCACTCAATTCCCTCATCAATGTCATTAATAAAGATGTTAAAGAGCACCGGTCCCAAGACAGACCCTTGGGGTACACCACTTGTTACCGGCCTCCACCTGGACATAGAGCCATTGACCACCACCCTCTGTCTGCGGCCTTTCAACCAACTGCTTATCCATCGGGTCGTCCGCCCATCAAATCCACTTCCCTCCAATTTGGAGATGAGGATGTGGTGGGGGACCATGTCAAAGGCCTTGCTCAGGTCCAGGTAAATGACATCAGTCGCCCTCTTTAAGAGAGGGTATGAAAGAACAACAAAGGAATTTCATGAATTGTTATGGGCTCTGGATATATCCAGTTCTGCTTACTAATTTTAAAAAAAAAAGTTCATTCTGCATATATGTACGCACGGCGAAGTCCAAACCGCTCCTTTCGGATGTGCGGAGAAGAGCCTGCAAATCGGAAAAAAGCTGCCAGCTGCAGTCGCACTTTTTCTCGGGTACGGTTTAACATGACACCGCGGCTGGAGGCTGAAAGCGGCAGTCGGTGATAATTCGATTCTCGGGCAGTAACGGCAAATGCTCCGGAGCAGTTCACCGCGAGTGCCACTTCCGAGCCGGGAGAGCGAAGCTGTGCCGTTCTGAAGCCGAGAGCGTCCGAATTCAGCCGCTGCCTTTCCTCCGGATGGGGGTTATTTTCTCCGCACTGCAGAAAGGATCTCTCCTGACTTCTCCCAATGTGCTCCCTGAGAGCACAGCATCTGTCGCTCCTCGAATCTCCAGCTGCCTCTTTAAGAGGCTTTTCCCTTCTACCCTTGTGGTCACAGAACACAGAAGTGGAGTCACAGAGAACTACATTACAAAGAATTGTCGCTCGAAATGAAGGCACGCCAAAAAGACACACATCCAAAAGGAGCGGTTTGGACTTCGCCGTGCGTACATATATGCAGAATGAACTTTTTTTTTTTAAATTAGTAAGCAGAACTGGATATATCCACAGCCCATAACAATTCATGGAATTCCTTTGTTGTTCTTTCATACCCCTACAAGGCTTGGCAATAATCCCCAGTACATACTCAAAGATGGAAAAGCTGCAGTTAGGTTTGCCACAGGAAGCAAGCTTCTCAAGTCCCTGCAACAGTATAGTACATAAGTGCTGTTTCCCGTTATGAAGAGAATCTCAACAAGAATTGTTAGTACCAATAAATGACAATAGATGGCAGCAGAGACCATGAAATACTCACCTTGCTGCTTCTCACTGCAGAAACGGCATTTCATTTGCACGGTAAGCCGATACTTTTAGAGAACTACTGAAAGAGACGGTAGGCCTGTTGGATTCAGAATAAGAGAATATAACTCCCAGAGCCTAGCCCTGTCTGCACTCCCATAGATATGGGCACTCAGAAGTGAGACCACATCTGGAGTACTCCATCCTGAATGCAACCCTAGCATACTGCTGACTGTCCCTGTTTTGTATGATCAGAAAAGTGCTACTATTGCCATGAAGTGACATATTACCTTTCATTAACCCTTACATTTCCTAGATGATTGTGTTTTTTCTCCTTTTGTGACATCCATTCGTCACACTCTCAGTTGGAGGACTGACAGGATTGAGATCTTACTTCTTCAGAAGTGATCTTACTTCTTTAGAAGTTTAAAGCAACTATTTCTTCTTCCTGGTGATTATAGTGATAGTGAATTTTTCAACTGAAATGTAAAAGTCGGGGGTGTTATAGAATAAATAGAGTAGATATGCTAAGCCAGTTTAAGTGACAACACTTTTCGGGAAGAGAGGATAAAGTTAAGGAATGAAGCAAGTCATTAAGCTGAGCAAAAGTGGAAAAAAAAAAAAAAAAAAATCAGGGGAGCAGAAAAATGAATAGATAGGGCACGCACAAATCAATGGCAGGACTGTCATTAAACTCAAAAGGAGGCAAGTTTTGTTCCCTAAAGAAGGACAATTTTTGCAATGACCCTCGTTGTCCACTTTGCATCATATCTCTTTGAAATTTTAGGCCCCTTTCTTCCATCTTGAATGCAGGATTGCATATATGCAATACTGTGAAACAAGAACATTCTGCCTCTACAACAATTTTGCTCACACTTCCACCTGCTCACCCTGCCACATCATCTGCCTCCTGGAGCAGCCCAGCCTGGCCAAGGGGTGGATGGAGCCAGGCTGAATGAATGAATGAATGAATGAATGAATGAATGAATGGGGCCTTATAAATATTTCTATAATTAGTCAAAGCACAGTAAATTTTTCCCTACAGGTTAAATACTGCTGATTAGCTGCTTACTTTTTAGAAAGTTCTCTGTCCTTAGTATTTACACGAGTCTTTTTCTGACCTGCTGTAAGCCCGTTAGTCCAAACCAGCTTTTTTCTTTTTTTCTTTTTTTCCCCAAGATTATTTTTATGATTTTCAAGGATCAAATAACATCTATAACAATTAGTTTTCCATAGATCATTTCTTCTTTTCATAATTTTGCGTTCCCTTACTTTCTGGCTCTGAACTTTGCTTCTACAATGCAAAGGGATTCCAGCCACCACATGCATACAAGCAAGACATTTTAGTGTGAGTTAGATACTCAGGAATACACAACCTGTAACCCACACGCTACGTGTATCCCAACTCAACTTGCACCCCCTACAGCTGTATCTATCATGGCAGCAGCTCTACCCTGATGAGTGGCCAGGCCCAGCCCAGAGTCACAGCAAGGTTTGCAGAGCAGCATTGAAAAATAAAGCAACAGAACTGAGAAAAGGCTGTCACCTTGTCTCGCTCCAATTTATAGGAGGGAGAGGAGGTTCTTTTATTATCTATATACCCAGCGTGAGATTAAGAAGCAACGGTTCAAATGTTGGTCCAACCAGTTTATTACAAATCTTAATCAGGGGAAATGGGGAAGGGGAGAACGGACACTATTATGAATTAGGGTAATGGGGGAAGGGATGGTGGGGCGATAGAAAAGATAGAAAAGAAGAAGCATGGAGTCTTTATAGGCAGCAAGAGGGACATAGTCACCACCATGGATCCAGCGTGGTTCGTAGTTCCGTCTTTGATCCTCAGTAGTGGTGGGTCGTCGGGCATTGTTGTTCTATTGACGACGAAGGACGACAAGAGACGACCATGGTGATGATGGCCCCTTTTCAATAGTTTTCAGAGTGGTCGAATCAGCTGTCTTTGGAGTGACAGCTCAAATCCAAAGTGGTTGAGTCAGCTCTCCTTTGAGTGGCAGCTTCTGGCTCTGAGGCCTCAGCAGGAAACTCCTTTGTTCTTATCTTCCTGGCCTTGCCAGCAGATAAGAGGAAGCAGGGAGGCACCAACTTGCATCTTCCCTTCGCAAGATACAATGGTATCATCCCCCAGCCTCCCATAGCAAACAGGAGTTATTTGGTCACAGGCTAGTTCTTCCGCCAGTCCTGAGCACTATCTTCTGAAGGCAAACAGCTCCAAAGATGGAAAATTGTCCACACAGCGATGTTGATTGCCACACAGCACCCATCACTTGCCTCCTCAACAAACTACCTCAGGAAGCAAGCTTTGAGCCAAAAAAAAGCAAAGAAGGATTCTCACACCACCCCGTGTCTCAAAGATTGCTTGAAATGAAGCATAAGTGACCCTCCATGGTGGTGAGGAAAAGGCAGAAAATAAAAAGACAGCAAAGAAGCAGGAGGGAAGGAGGAGGGGGGAGAAGAGGAAGATAATCGTTACACAATTACTACAGTAGATTTCTTGGACTTGGTTACAAATGTTGCCCTGATCTGTTGGACTTGTCTATCGTCAGTTGAAGTGGTTACAAAGTACATGGAGGATACAACACGTTGTATAAGTTGAATAAAACATAGAATCATACAAGGTACAAACATAAGAGTTGCAACAACACACCGTAGAGAAAATAGGATACGTTTGACCCATAGGCCACCTGGAAGCCAGGAAAAGAAATCAAAGTCCAGGCTTTTCTAGGTTTGGACAAGAACATGGGCTATTTTCCGTATACCCTGGGCAATTGGTTTAACAACTTTACCATTATCATCAATCTTTAGACAACAATTAAAATCATTTGGTTTGCCACAGACACCACTTGGTGATACATCAGGAGTGGTGACACAAATGTTACATGGTGAATAAAAGGTAGAAAGTGAAAAGAGACAACCATACATTTAACAATAACCAATAATAATAAATAAATAGGTAAACAAACTTAGGTATTTGTGTCAGCTGCTTTCCCCACTCAGGAACTCCCAGTGTAAGCCAGGATCCAGATGGTAATTCTTCAGTAGAGGTTGTGGTGTTTATGAATAGCCATACAATATTACACTTCAGTTAATTTACTAAAAGCATATCTAGTCTAATTTGACAATACGTGGACTTGCCATGTAATGTTTTCTAAGATGATTTAGTCTCTCAAGAACTTTACACTTGAGCATTTCCAAAGCAATTCAAATGCTAAGAGATATAAATATTAGTTTGGCAAGTTTAAGTATTGTTACAGTCCACAGAACTTTTCACAGGATAGTGTGTGCAGGATACCCCTACAGTACAAACCATCAAAGAGGGGTAATCCCAGAAACACACACATCTCTTTTTAAAACTTAGGCACTTTCCAACAACCATGTTTTGGATGGAACTCCTGGACTGGTGTGACACTGAAAAGCATCAGTGCAAAAGGCTTTATGATAGATTTCTCTTGTGACCTCATCTAATAGATATTAGATGAGTCCCTTGATTAATTTCCCAGTTTGTTAGGAATTCGGAAACACTGTGGAGGAGTTACATGCAAATCATAATCAATTTGGTAAAAAGGGGTGAAAGAAGGAGTCAAAAGAAATGGTATCACTTTGCAGGGAGTACCATTAAGCCAGGATGACCTGTAAAAAAACCTGCACCCAGTTGTGAAGTTTAACAGATTCAAGGACTGATACCAATCACCACCCACGCCCACAACAACACAAAACATAACACTATTGCAACCAAAAAATGTAATCAAGAGGTACATTCAGTGTTCTAGCATGATCAAATCTTCAGTATTTCTATCACAAAACACAAATGGTTAAAATCAGCTATTAGCCTTTTTGTGTTCTGTCAAGGTCCCACGGGGATCTTCTGTGAAAATAAAACAAGACACCGACTTGCCCTTTTTGGGCTTTGTAAATAGGGTTAAAAAATATGAGGGAACAATCCAGCAAGTGTTGATTTCATATTCCTTTTTCGGGGTGTCTTTAGCCTTCCAAGGATATTTGTTAAGGGATCCCGTTAAGGTTAGGGAAACTGGCCTCAGGCTAGCTGAGTCAATCGACACAGTCTGGCCAGGGAGGTAAAAGTGTTTCCCTGGCTTATCAGCCACTGGATCGTGACTCACAGGGATAACTGGCAAGAGTGGTGAGGCCTTTGGTCAGAAGGTGTTAAATCGACAATCTTGTTTCCC